AGACATGCCCCCCTCCTCGGGTTCCTTCAGCCCAGTCCGGTCCAGCCCGGTTCCCAGGAGGATAAAGCTCGTGTATAAAGAGGAGCATCCGTCTGAGAAGCGCCGCTCTGAGGGCGAGAAGATCAGAAAGAAATACCTGCACTGGGTCCCGGTGATAGTAGAAAAGGTTCCCAAAGCTCAGATAGGAGACTTGGACAAAAAGAAATACCTGGTGCCTTCTGACCTCACAGTTGGGAAGTTCTATTTCTTGATCCGGAAGCAAATTCACCTCCGAGCTGAGGATGCCTTGTTTTTCTTTGTCAACAATGTCATTCCACCCACCAGTGCCACAGTGGGTCAGCTAAGCCAGGAACACCATGAAAAAGACTTCCTTCTATACATTGCCGACAGTGATGAAAGAGTCTATGGCCTTGAAGCTGCTGTGCCTGCGGTGGGGGGGGGGGGGGGGTCCCCATTCTACATAGAGAGAGATGCCCCCCCTTCCTTGCCTTCTTCCTCCTTCAGGACCTGTACTTCCTAATGTTTGAGGCTCTTCTCCAGAACCTCCAGCAGGGGGAGGAGGGGTTAATTGGGGAGATGGCCTCTGGTACCTCTTCTTTCTCCTGCCTTCTCCTTTCTACCACCTTTCCCACTCTGCTTTAGACTTCTTGATTGTCAATCTCTGTCACATCCAGTGATTGTTTTGGTTTCTGTTCCTTTTCTAACTGTCCAAGGAGCTCAGAACCCCAACACTGGTTCCTTTTCACTATCTTTTTGTGGGGTAGTGGAAGGGGATGAAATTGTGGGGGGAAGGTAAGAGGCACATCAATAAAGAGGAAACCACCAAGCTGGAAAAAAAAAAATGAAATGAAATCATTTCTCTTGGCTCTGGCCAGGCAGCACAATCAGTTAAAGCATCATCCCAATATGCTAAGGTATAGGTTTGATCTCTGGTCAGTGAACATACAAAAATCAATCAAACGACGAAACCGGTTTGGCTCAGTGGATAGAGCATCGGCCTGCAGACTGAAGGGTCCCGGGTTCAATTCCAGGCAAATCCCCAGTAGGGGGTGTGCAAGAGGCAACTGATTGATGATTCTCTCTCATCAATATTTCTGACTCTCTATCCCTCTCTCTTTCTCTCTGTGAAAAATCAATAAAATATATATTTTTTAAAAAATCAATCAATGGAGTTTCTTCAAGGACTTACAGGCTTCAGCCCACTCATGGATATGATCTTTGAGGATGTGGCCATTGCCTTCTCTCAGACAGAGTGGGGGCTCCTTGATTATGCTCAAAGACATCTGTACTGTGATTGTGATGCTGGAAGTGTTTGCCCTTGTATCATTCATAGTGATATGTATGCTATATCCAGATCCATGGCTACCACTTCTGCCACTTTCCTGATAAGGACCTTGGTGAATTTCTGTGCCAGGTCGTTGGCATAAAATGGATGATGTGGAGGCCTACTCTGAGCACAGTGAATCTGTAGGAGATTCTCATGTTAGGGCTTCCAAAACAGCTCAAGCCACACAAAGAACCCATCTGTGGAAGCCATGCTTCTCAGTGTTAAAAGCTATTTTGCACCTGGGTGGTTTACTTTGAGAAAAATGTATTCTTAAGAAATGCATGTGTGGGAGACTTGTGTTTCAATGCAAACCCTCACCAGCAGCAGCAGGATGCCAATGGAGAAAAGCTCGGGAAAGATATGGAGAGTGCCTCACTTGTAATGAGTTGCTGCTTCTATTTATCTGAGGTGCCTGATGCTTGTATTGAGATTGGGGTAGACTCCCCAGCCATCTCAGGGCTTCTCCCACCCCAGGCCGCTCTTAACACTGAGGAGTCACACATTAACAATGAGCTTTCACAGGAATTTCTCAGTGGAAAAAGACATCATCAGTGGGTTGAATGTGAAGCAACTTTCTGTTTTCTGGCTATCAGCCAGAAAACAGAAAGTTGCTTATCAGAAAGGTCTCTGCTCTGGAGATATAATGTATAAGAATAATAAATGCGGGAAAGTGTATATACAAATCTTCAACCACCTTCAACACGGGAGAGTTCACACCACAGAAAAGCCCTATGGGTGTACTGATTGTGGGAAGGTCTTCAGTAAAAGCACTGCTTGCTCTCATTAAACACAACAGAGTGAATACACATTAGAGAAAATCTGTATGAGTGCACTGGAGGTGGGAAGTCCTTCAGTGAAAGGTCTGACTTCACTAAACACCACAGAGTTCACACTGGAGAAAAACCATATGAGTGTAGTGAATGTGGGAATTCCTTCAGTCAAAGGTCTGATTTAACTAGACACACCACCGAGTTCATACTGGAGAAAAGCCATAGATGTGCAGGGAATGGTTTATTTTTCTCACTTAATATAAGAACACTTAAGGGCCTCTATGAGACCCTTTACATGAATGTAAACCCCTTTTATGAGAACATACACTCTGCTGGATTCCTCATAAATATATGAGGTACAAGTGAGGCTTGAAAGAGCTGCACTGTACTTGTTAACATGCTTAGATTTTTGGAAAGATTGGAAAGATTCTTTCCAAAAATTGGGACTTTTTTAAAACACCGCAGGATGCAGGAAAAATTGTTGAAAATCAGGACTGTTCTGCAAAAAGCGGGACGATCTGGTCACCTTAGCTTAGAACTATGACCCAAATGATGTCACTGTGACTGTCGCTGAAGAGATTGCACTTCTAACACCTGGCCCACCTGAGGAGTGTACATCGGTCACCATCCCTGGGGAATGTATTCTGTGTTTTCACTTCTGCTTGAAATAATTATGGTTCCTCCAAGCTGTTGGCAGCCATCTTCACTCATTTCTCTATGATTTGAAAATGGACCTGACTCAGGATTTATCCAGAACACCTCTTCTCAGCTAAAAGTGCTACCTGTTTCAGAGACACAGTGGTACTCACAATTATGCTTTGATAGATTTGGGGGATTCTTATTCACCAGCCTGCAAATCCTTGCTCTCCTGTGCTCTGGCTTATGATCTTTTTGTAAGGTGTTTTTACATCTGTACCTTTAGCTTTGGTTTGATTCACTACCCCAGATGATTTGCAAACACAAATGTGATTTTTCAGCATATAGAGATGAATAGATACTGTGTTTATCCCAGATTTTAAATGGTTTGGAAGGGACAGCCTAATGGCAGGAAATGACTTTTTGTTCAGTATTGGCTTATAATTTACTGCGGCCCGAGGCCTTGAAAGAAAAACCACCTGGTTTTGTTCATTTAAATTTGCAGCCTTTGTTATTGGTGAAGGCAAAGGCCACTCTGAAGAGGAAACTTTTGCTCTGTCTCTGAGACCAATATGAATCATGTTCTCTGTTTACAGTATGTATTGCATAAGCCTCCTCAATGTTTAGGGATCCTGCTCTCCGCATACTGCAAAAGAGCCACGTGCCAGGAGTATGAAATTTCATAGACTGGTGTCATTAGTTATAAGTCTCTGAGGTGGAACCACAATTAGAACAGAAACACTGTTTCAATAGTGAGTAGGAAAGACTGCAGTGAATTAGATAAGTGCCTTTTCTGAACAGAAGGCCACAAATGTTCCAGAGACTGTGGTTTGTGTGACCTTTATGTACAGACATTCTTGGGCTCTCCAAAACTGTTTCATGTAGCTGAAGCCATTGGCAGGTAGAATAGTCTGAGGGTATTGTGTATTCCCTGGCTCCTCTAGGGTGTTCACATAAGGGAGTTGCTCAACAGGCAGGAAGTCAAAGCTAGAGGAAGGATGAACCTGTAATCTGTCCCAGGATATGTCTTTCGTTAAGTACTCAGCATTCCTCTTGAATTTGAGGCAATAGTTTTTGTGTGTGTGTGTTTTTAACATATATGTACTTTTATGATTTCAGAGAGGGAGAGAGCGAGATCAATGAGAGAGAGAATCATTTATCAGCTGCTTCCTGCATGCCCCACAGTGGGCCTCGAACCCACAACCGGGGCATGTGCCCTGACTGGGAATCGAACCGTGACCTCCTGGTGCATAAAGTTAATGATTTTCCACCTTGCCACACCAGCTGTGCTGATGGTAATAGTCTTCACTTCTTGCCAATATTTGCTGCCACTGAGGCTAGGCTGGTCCTCCCAAGAAATGAGGGGAGGGATGGTAGTGTCTATATAGGATTGCCATCTTAATTTTCTAATAACAGAGGGATCTCTAGGATTTATATGGAGCCACATTCCAAGGCTTTACTTAAGTATATGTATAAATGATGAGCAAGGAAATGCACTTTTCAAATGTGCACTATTTGGTGAGGTTTAACATATGGATAAAGCTGAGAAACTGTCACAAGTGAAATAGGCTTCTCTGTTGCCCACATCCATGTTGGAAAAAAAGTAGGCATATTGTTGTGAGTATGCCAAACACACAGATAATTCTCCATTTCGTGTAACTATTTTATATGTTTTAAAAATGTATTTCTATTAAATTTTGAAAAGTTGGGAGAGGGAGAGAAACAGCAATCATCTGCTTCCTGCACGACCATCCCTAGGGATTCAGCAAGGCATGTGCCCTGACCTGGAATCAAACCAGTGGCTTTCACTGAACATGATCACACCCAACAAAATGAGGCACTGTGGTTGTGGAGAGTTTATATTTGTGTTGTTGCTTATTAACCTTTGTATTATTTTCAGTACCAGCAACTCTAAACCTGCTCTTACCTTTCCTTATAATCTGTCTTCTGCCTTTCCCATCCCTATGTACATTCATTCATTTTCCTTCCTTTACAAGATTATAACATTATGAAAATTATTAACTAAACACTGTAATATGTGTATTTTTTAACAAATATGGGACTCTTTCATGCTACACAGCTAATTTGAGGTTCAACACTAATGCTTATGTGAAAAGTTATTTTTTTTATAGTTGAATAGTATTGTGTTCTGTAAATAACCAATTTATCTATTGATCTGTCTATGATTTTTTGTTATTTCCAGATTTGAGGTATTATAAATAAATTTTCTGGAAATTTTGAGTTCAGTTCTTAAAAAAAAAAAAAAATCAATCAATCAATGCATAAATAAGTAGAACCAGATCCAGTTGGAACTTTTCTTCGGAGAGAGTCAGACCTAACCCAAGAGGACAGCTAGAAAGAGGCAGTTCTGTGGTGTTCTTGGTCACACATTTATGGAGTTTCTGAAGGGCAGTGGAGATTATTGCCAGGCACAGCACGACCTCTATGCACTGTAGAAATTCATTACTGCTCCACCAAGAAGCCCCCATATGAGTGGTTAACCTGGACACAGAAGTGTTGAACTGAAAACTGCAGAGCATTTTACAAGTTCTGACCTGGATGAGGTAAACCTCAGTGCACTTCCTTTCTATTGCCTCAGTATTACTGGATTGAAGAGTTGCTGCTCCTTGTTAGGAGGTTCATTTCATTTCCCATTACTCCCAACGTCACTCAAAGCACTGAGAATTTCAAGTGGAGTATATTGAAGTAGACTCAGTTTCTTTGCACCGTTTCTGTATTCAATTTTTAAATTGTTTCATAACCTTATTGAGTGTTTTTTAACTAAATTACCATGGCTCGAATGAACCGCCCAGCTCCCGTGGAAGTCACATACAAGAACATGAGATTTCTTATTACACACAATCCAACCAATGCGACCTTAAACAAATTCATAGAGGAACTTAAGAAGTATGGTGTTACCACAATAGTAAGAGTATGTGAAACAACTTATGACACTACTCTTGTGGAGAAAGAGGCATCCAAGTTCTTGATTGGCCTTTTGATGATGATGCACCACCATCCAACCAGATTGTTGATGATTGGTTAAATCTTGTAAAAATTAAGTTTCGTGAAGAACCTGGTTGTTGTATTGCTGTACATTGTGTTGCAGGCCTTGAAAGAGCCCTAGCATTAATCGAAGGTGGAATGAAATATGAAGATGCAGTACAGTTCATAAGACAAAAGCGGCGTGGAGCTTTTAACAGCAAGCAGCTTCTGTATCTGGAGAAGTATCGTCCTAAAATGCGGCTGCGCTTCAAAGAGTCCACTGGTCATAGGAACAACTGTTGCATTCAATAAAACGAGTGTCTGATGCCATTGCCTTGAAAGTGGAACTTGAGACAGGACCTAATTTGTCATATATATTAGCCAACCTGTTGGCTTGGTGAATAAGTCTAATGAAGCTTCCAAAAGAGGGTTGAAAACCAGTTTTATGTAGCCACAAGCTTGACAGAATTGCAACCTCTATGTTTGGGTTATTTTGACACTTGGCAAGATTCTTACTGTTCAGCATTTAAAATCTGCTTATCATTTGTACCAATTTACTTTTCCTGAAATCATGCAGTATTGAGTTATGTCTTCAATAAATCTATTCCCATGTCAGAATCTTAACGATATATAAAAGATTTAGAAAGATTAGGTGCCAAAATACCCAGCACAATACTTGTATATTTTAGTTTCATACAGAACTAAAATCCCAGGAACTATGAACACTCTGGACCTTATGTGGTTTATCCCTTCAGTCATTTCAAACATAGAAAGTAGGGCCTATATGTGATTGTTTGCCTGCTCACTTTATGTTTACATCTCTCACATTCATACAAGTATACATCAGGTTTGCTCAACTTTTTATTTTTATATAAAGTCTTGGTTATTATTTAATGTCTTTCTTTAAGTCTCATTTTGTGCTGTTATGGAAAGCCTCCATTTTGAAAATCTACATTGTATAGAGGCACATGTCTTTAATGTTTCCAGACAAAAAACCTTACAGTTAATTTTAATGTTTGCACTTAATGTGCAACTTATAGGGAGGGCCTGAGGAAAGAATGAGAGGGGGCTAGTAAGTATTTTTAGTAAGATGTTGCCTTTGTCTTGTGTGGAACATGTAGAATATGCTCTTTAGTAAATATTTTTTTAAAGGTAGACATGCTTTGTTGTAGCTGAAATGATTCTTAATCATAAAAATTCTGAATTCTTGTATTTTTTTTTCATACATTCTGAAGTTTACCAACTTATTTTTGTTTGGAAGTGTGATTTTCTTTTTTTCCTTCCCACCCTCTTGCAAAAAAAAAAAAAATGGGTTTCTGCTAATGAATTGAGCAGACATCTAATATTTTATATGCCTTTTGAGCTGTGTAACTTAATATTTGGATACTTGATAATTTGTTTTATTATGTAATTGATAAAATGGTGATGTGTATTGATGTTAGTTCAACCATATATTTATACTGTTTGGGAATGTGTGGTTATAGTTCTGTGGGAGAAATAATTTGTCAGTGTTCGCCAGCTTGTAAAAATTTAGTGCGAGAGCTTAAACATCTAAATAAATGAGATGCATTTATCATCAAAAAAATAAAAATAAAAATAAGTAGAACCAAAAGAAATCAATATTTCTCTCCTCTCTAAAAATTTTTTTAATGTTCTTTTTATTTTATTATTTTTTAATCCTCACACAAGGATATTTTTTCCCATTGATTTTTAGAGTGGAAAGGAGAGGGAGAGATAGAAACACTGATGTGAGGAAGACATATTACTTAGTTGCCTCCCACATGCCCCCAGACCAGGGCCAGCAACCTGCAACCAAGATCCATACATGCCCTTGACTGAATTGAACCCAGTACCCTTCAGTCCGCAAGCCTATGTTCTACCCACTGAGCCAAACCAACTAGGGCTAAATGTTCTTTTATTACAATCTTTGTCAGGAAGTCTATTTCATTTGATATAAGTATTGTTCCCCCAGATTTCTTTAGTTTCTATTTTCACTGAATATCTTTTTTCATCCCTTCCCTTTTAGTCCTGACATCTAAAGTGAGTCTCTTAAGGGCATCATAGTTGGGTTTTGTTTTTCCATCCATTCAGCCACTCTAACTTTTGATTGGAGAACTTATTCCATTTTTATTTAAAGTAATTATTAATAGGCTTGGACTTACTGTTGCCATTTTGTTAAGGCCTTCATTCCTTTCTACTTCTCTTGTCTCTTCCTTTTGTAATTTGATGATTATTCTGTAGTGGTATTCTAGATTCCTTTTTCTTTATCTTTTGTGTGTCTACTGTATGTTTTTGCTTGTGATTACCATTAGGCTTATATAAAACATCTTATATTTATAAAAGTCTATTTTAAGCTTATGCATTTAATTTCAAATGCATAATAAATCTCTGTATTTCTCTTCTCCCCACTCCATGTTTTATGTTTTCAATGACACAATTTACATATTTCCTTGTTTTCATAACAAATTATTGTAGTTATTATTTTTAGTTTTTATATTTTAACTAGAGGCCTGATGCATGAAGATTCATGCAAGAATCAGTCTTCCTTCCTCTGGCTGCCAGCACCACCTCTGCCTTCAGAGCCACCTTTCTGCCTTCCCATGCTGCCCAGAGGCCTGGAGCTGCTGCAAGCGTCCCACCCCATCCCAGCTGCTGGGCACCTGCATATGCATATTAACCTGCCATCTTTGTAGGGTTAATTTTCATACTCACTCCTGATTGGCTGGTGGGTGTCACAAAGGTATGGTCAATTTGCATCTTTCTCTTATTATTGTAGATCTTCATACTAGATTTATAAGTAATTTACCCTCTACCAGTACATTAGAGTATTCTGAATTTAACTATAGATTTATCTTTACCAGTGAGATTTATACTTTCATATGTGTTTTATTACTAATTTGTGCCCTTTCAGTTTAATTCAAATAAGTCCCTTTAATATATCTTTTAAGGCTAATTTAGTGATGAACTTTTTCAGCTTTTGCTTATCTGGGAAAGTGATTTTTGATTGTCAGTTTGTTTCTTTCAGCATTTTGAATATATCATACCACTCCCTCCTAATTGCAAAATTTCTGCTGAAAAGTCTGCTCATAATCTCAAAAGGTTCCCTTATATGTAATAAGTTGTTTTTAACTTGCTGCTTTTAATATTTACTCCTTGTCTTAACTTTTGTCATTTTAATTATGTTTCTTGGTGTGGGTCTTTTTCAGTTTATCTTATTTGGAACTCTCTGAAATTCCCGTATTTGAACATGTTTCCTTTCCTTTGTTATGAAATTTTTTTGGCCATGATTTCTTCAAATAAGTTTTCTGCTCCTTCTCACTCTCTTCTCCTTATGGAAACCCTTATATTGTGAATGTTGGTCTGTTGGATGTTGTCTTATAAATCTCTAAAGCTATCTTTTTACTCTTTTGCATTCTTTTTTCTTTTTGCTATTCTGATTGGATAGATTTCTCTACCCTGTCTTGAGTTTTCTGATCCTTCCTTCTGCTTCATTTAGTCTGCTCTTGAATTCCTCGTTAGAATTTCCCCCCAGTTCCATTATTATATTTTTCAGCCTTGTGGTTTGTTTGATACTCTTATCAAACAGAAAGTCTCTTTAGTGAAATTCACACTTTGTTTCCTCTTTGTACACCTGATGTTAGTGAATATCTTTATAACTTAATATCTTAATATCTTTGAACTCTTTATTTGGCAAATCTCTTATCACTTTATCAGATAAATCACTTTTATTAAGGTCTGTTTCTGGAGTCTTTTCTTTTGTTTGGAATATATTTCTTTGTTTCTTCATTTACCTTGAGTCTCTGTTTGTTTATGCATATTAAATAAAACAACCACTTCTAGCCTTGAAAAAGTGAGACTCATGGAGTAATTGGCCCTCGTTCTTGGTTGTCCCAAAATTTTGTGATTGTCCAAGCTGCCTTCTTTATCTTGTTGGTTCCCACTAATTTAAGGTGTTCTAAAACCTATCAGGGTCCTAAAAGGAAGAAGCTCAGTCAAAACCTGCAGGCCAGCCCCCTTGGGCAGCAGCACTTGAAATATCAAATAGACCTTTTTCAGAGAAAGACTGGAAGTTGGGTATTTCTGTCCACTCCTTCATTGAGCTCTGGGAGGATAGCTGTTTAACAATTGGTGATTCTTTTATTTTTACAGTCCTGTGGGAATGGATAACAGACCAACTTGGCCACTGGAGCCAATGGACGCATATTCTTGCCAACAGCCACAAAAGCTTTGTCTCCAGATGTGTGTACAAGCTCCTTTCAGGAAAATACATTCTCCAACACAGATGGAGAATGTGAATATGGCTCTGGATGTTTTCTGGTGTCAGGGATGGATAGCAGTTGCCTCTAGATATGTGTTAAGTTAGAAACCTGACCCTCAGGCTTCAGCTTTTAAGCCTTTTTCAGTGACTCTTTTGCATTGCTGACTATTCCCTGTAGGGGGTAGCCATTCAGAGTTTTCAGAAGCCTGTTAGGAACTGTCTCTTTGATATAGTCTGGTGGGTTTCATGGATGCAAGCTCTATTGGCATTCAGAACTGAGTATGTTGGGAGCCCATC